AAGCTTATCTGACACTTTTGGAAATTTTACATTGGATGGATTGTTCCAAGAAACCTTTGGTTCGAGCATTGTCGAGAGAAATAAAATCTGATTTATTTTACGTTATGGAATATAGAGAAATGACATTAAGTTTATTCATGAAATTCGAAGCCAATAAATTTTCCATAACATATTTGAAAACGCTCATTCAAACGGCACATTTATTTATCAAACTTCTTGAAGAATTTTCAAAAAGTTCTAAATTGATTGTGCAAAAGATTTCAAAAGTCAGAAAAAAAAGAAAAGGAAAAAAGTCGAAAGTGGAAAAAAATAATATTCCGATTAATAAAGAACAAATTTGGGAAAAAATTTGTGATGATTTACAAAACTTAATGGCATCCGATACGCCAATACCCGACATATCACCCTTTGATGCCACTTTGGATACTCCAATAGAGGAACAAAAAGAAAGAGCGATGAAAAATATTCAAAAATCTCTACATCTTAGAAATATTAACGAAGCTCTTGGATTATTCAGGAGTTCTAGGCAAGTGTGGCCGGAAAATGATTGTTTTGGTAACGAAAATATGACGATCGAAGAGGAATTATCTGCCCTTAAAGAAATTTGCCTCGCCGATTTATTAAATGAAGATAATGTAATTGAAAATAATAAGCCCCCAGTTTCAGAAGAAGAAGAAGACGACGACGACGACAACAACACGGGGAATAGTAGCGATAGTGATGAAGCACCCATAAAGATAACAGAACAAGATTTTAACATGCAGGATTTTAAAAGACGGTTGGTACATAAAAAGGTAGTTGAAATATGTGGCCTTTTATTGAAAAATTACAAAAATAATTCTGATCACGTCAATCATTGTGCAGTTAAACTCCTTCATCGAATAGGTTGGGATTGTAATATGCCTGCCATGCTTTATCAAGCATCTTTGTTTCAAACTTTATTAAATATCATGAATGATAAACACCGAAATTACAGTGAAATGAATACGTTCACGATAAATTTATTTCAAAAGTTTCGAAAACATGCCAGCGAAAACAGTATAGTTTTTTTGGAATTATTGTTTTGGAAAGATTATTCCGTTGCATTAGAAATTCAAAATAAATATGTCGATTACGGAGGAGAAACAATGACAGGAACCAAGGGAAAAAGGTCTAAAAAAAAATTAAAGACGGATGAAAACAGTAAATCAAAGAAAAAAAGTAAGAAGAAAATGGAAGAGGAAGAAAGTTTTCCGACTGGTTTAGAAATTCCTGATACAGAACTTGAGGGGGGGCCTACAGATGTCGAATTAGAATCAAATGACCCTCAAAAAGAAATTTTTGAAATGGATTCGTTGAAAACAGGAGATTCACTTTTCAGTAATGACGACGACGGGAAGAAAATGCGTAAAAAAGAAAATACTAAAAAAAGGAAAAAAGAAAAACAAACTAATAAAACTACTATTAAAAAAAAGAATAGGAAAAATTCCCGTAAAAAATCTAAACAAATTATTAACACAGAAGAGGAAAATTTTATTGAAAATGATATTTTAATCAAAGAGAAAATCAACGATTTTGATGATATTTTACCCGTTAAAAATGGAACGGAAATAGATGGTACCCATAGTGATGGTACCCATAGTGATGATGGTTCGATTAATAATAAATTTGATGACAAGATAATTTTTAAATCTAAAAAAAGAAGAAGGTTGATATCGTCGGATGATTCAAATTCTGATGGTGAAAATTATGTGGAAAAGAAAAAAACACTTGTTATTGATTCAGATTCTAATTAAATATTATACATAAGAAAATTTCCATCATGTTTTTACTTAAATAAAACAGTATTTGTGTGCGTGTGTCATAGGCTTAAAAATAAAAAATGATCATTTTATATTTTTCAAATTCTATTAATTTTTTTTCTTTAACTAAAAGTTAATTCATGGCGAATAAATATTTTGTTTTTACCTAGAAAAATTGAGACAATATTGTATAATGTGAGAATATTATGTACTCTATAAACAGGGCTGACAACAATCCAAAAAAAAAAAAAAAACCTAATAATTAATGGAATAAAAAAGATTTTACACTTTTATTATTATTATTGCACGTTTATAAATTGAATTGAAGGCCCTTTTATCATTATCATTATTACAGTAAATACTATAATTGTCGGTTGTTGTTGTTGGTTGTTGTTTGTTGTGTATTTTAAAAGGGAAATAACGGTTGAAAATACAGTTTTTTTAGTAGTAATAATAATAATTCGTGATTGAAATTGTATTTTAATGAAAAATTTTCATTTTAAATTTAAAATATAATTTTTTGTTGATAGATAAAAAAATAATTGATATTGATAAGATATTATTATTATTATTATTATTTGATTAATTTTTCAAGGACTGATTAATTTCGATTAGATGATATATTATTTAGAAAAAAAAATGTCGACCCCATAAAATTTTTTCCTATAAATTCTTAACTTTTTAAATAAAAATATGTATTATTTACCTATAAATTAAATCTTGTCTTCTTCTTCATAATAATAATAATAATAACTATTGGAAAAAAAAGAAAAATAATTTTGTTATGTCAAAGAACTAAAGGTTTATTATAAAGTTAACAAAAATAAAATAAAATAAAATACATAAGTTCGCGTTGTATACAAGCCTAAATCCTTGTTTACAATAGCTTTTAATAAAGAGAGAGAGAGAGAGATAACAACGTAGTCCACTAGACTTAGGCCTCATTCAGATGATTTTGATTAAATTTTTATTTTATTTTATTTTATTTATAATAATAATATCAGTTTTGTTTGTGAATCCTTCTTAAAAGCTTTCACATCATTTTTGTTTTTTTTAAAATCTAAATTGTGATTTCTCTATGAAATCACAATTTTATTAAAAAATTTAAAAATTAATTCATTGGTAAGTTTTACATAATAACTTATTTTTATGTATGTAAAAATGACGTATTTAAAATTTATTAAAAAAATTATATCGTTAAAACATGTATAATTACAAATAATTATTTTAATTATTATTATTATATAAGGGGGGGAGGGCAAAAAAAAAAAAAAAATTATATAAAAATGTTTTTTTTTTTTTTTATATGCTTAATTTTCCATAAAAAAAGACAACTTTTTTTTGTTGTCGTAATTATTTTTATTAAAATTAATTAATAAAAAATTTCGATGGGATTTACCCAAAAAAAAAAAAAAAACAAGACAAGATATTAATTAATAAACAAAAAAAAAAAGAAAAAAGGATACATGGAAAACTGGAGAAAAAAAAAAAAAAAATGGAAAGCAGGTGATTTTGACAGATTTTAATTAACAAAAAATTTTAATATAAATCATATGAAAAATCAAGGTCAATTACTTAATAATTATACTTCGTATTATCAAATAATAATAATAATAATAATTAAATGGTTGGTTGATAAAATTATATATATTTATCGATCGATAATTAATCCGGTAATTTTTATTACGTATTATTATAATTAAGTTGACATATTTAATTTTTTTTTTTTTTTTTTAAGTAGAAAATGTCAAAAAAATTAAATGTCATTAATATTAATATTATTATTCTCGTATGTTGTGTGACGTCATTAATTTTTTTTTTTTTTGATAATTTAAATATTTGAATTTATGTAATTAATTTAAAAGAGTTATTGATAATAACGGAAAAATTATTTTCCCCCTCCCTCCCCAAACAAGTTTTAAATTTTTTTCCATATATATATATATATAATAAAATTTAATATAATTACATTCGCTTTTCGGTTAAAGTTGTTATTTTTCAAAAAGTTTATTATTATTATTATTATTATTATTAATATTATTATATTAAATTATTATTTGAAACGGGCCGACACACGCGCACACACACACACACACAAACACATAAAAAAAAAATTAATAAGAAAATCAAAAATTTTAATTAAAACTAATTAACTTATATTAAATTTGTATTTGAAAATAATAATAATAATAATTTTTTGTTTGTGATTTAATGGAAATAAGAGTTTAATAATATTTATATTATTATTTATTTTTTATTGAAGTAAGAATTTTTTAATATTTATACAGGCTCCAAATTTTGATGATTAGATGCCAATTTTTAGGTACAGAATAATTTATTTGATACCTTTTTTTTTTTTTTTTTTTTTTGAAATATTTACAACAGTAATTAAAAAGTTCGGATTACATTTTTGTGTTTATAAAAAAAAGATTTTATCTTTGGGTGCTTTTTTAACAAAAACATTTTTCAGTTAATATTTGAATTTTTGGTGGTAAATGGTGGTAGTGTGCATTAAATTGCTCAAAAATGGTTGATGGAGTACAAATAAAAAATAAATCAAAAAACAAAGTAGTAGTGATTTGATATTTTGATTGGTTTTAGGCCTATAGAACAGGTGGGATTCCCACCTTTTACACTCTCCAATTGGTTAAAAGTGAGTGGCAATTGAGCTTGAACGCTGAGCCTCCCTGGTGCTAGCATTTACCAATATATTGACGCCATAGAAACTTTTTTCTGTTTTCCATATAAGCTGCCTCGTAAGTCTAATTATTTTTTTCTTTTTTTTTTTTGTATGTATATAAAAAGTTATAAATCAAAAAAAAAAAAAAACAAATTTTTCATCACCATTATTATTATTATCATTTATTTCAGTTTGCTCTTTTCAAATCAAGAACCTTTCAATACCGTCTCAATTGTGTCTTGTCTTTTCAAAATTTAAAATTGCTCACAATGAAATCGGGAATAGTTAACGAAAAGATTCACGTTTTGGAATCAAGCTCAGACATTTGGAAAACGATTCGGGATATTGTCGTTACTCGTAATCAGGAAGAACCTTTTTTCGTGTGCGACGTTGGTGAAATCGTTAAGAAATTCAATGAGTGGAAAGTTAAATTCCCCAGAATCCAACCTTTTTACGCCGTGAAATGTAATGATACGCCAATCGTGTTAGAAGTTCTTGGAGCTCTTGGTTCATCTTTTGATTGCGCATCAAAAAACGAATTGTCAAAAGTCCTAGATTTGGGAGTGGATCCGAAAAAAATAATTTTTGCCAATCCGTGCAAACCCATTAGCCACATTCGTTTTGCTGAATCTAATAAAGTTGACCTTATAACCTTTGACAACGAAACCGAACTTTACAAAATGAAATCACTTTTTCCGGAATCAAGGTAAACACAAAAAAAAAAAAAAAATTGAATTTTTCTTAAATGATTAACCACCCATAAAATAATAAAAAATTATAAAAAAATTTCAGATTAATATTACGGATTCGATATGATGCCAAAGTTGCTGCGTGTCAATTGGGAATGAAATTCGGATGTGATCATCAGAAGGAAGCACCCAAACTCATAAACGTTGCTCGGAGTTTAGGATTGAACGTAGTAGGCCTGAGGTAATTTCCGTTTTGCATATGAAAACTTTGAGTAACAAAAAATAAAATAATAATAATAATAAATACGATTTAGTTTTCATGTCGGATCGGGATGCGGTGATCCCCCTGTTTACCGTAAAGCCATTGCTGCATGCAAAACATTATTTGATTATGCCAAGACTTTGGGCTACGATTTTAACATTTTAGACATCGGGGGTGGATTTCCTGGTAACAAACATACATCCGTTGATGAGGTGACATTCTCATTATTTATTTATTATATTGAAATTTTTTCGCGGATTTTCTTCTATAAAGTACGTTTGAAATTTAGTTTGCAGAAATCATAAATCAAGCATTGGAAGATTTTTTCCCCGATCCGGAAATGAAAATAATTGCCGAACCAGGTCGTTTTATGGCAGCATCTTGTTTCACGTTGGTGACCAACGTTCACAGCAAAAGAACCGTTTTGGGTGAAAATGGCATTCATAACATGTACTACATAAACGATGGAGTTTACGGAAGTTTTAATTCAATAATTTACGATCACGCTCACGTTAATCCCATACCACTGAGGGTAAATAACCTTTCGACCTTTGTCGATATGCAGTACAAGGATTTAGAAAATAATAATTTTTTTTTTTTTTCTATAGCAATCCAATCTTAAGAACGTAACTTATGCTTCGATTTGGGGACCGACATGCGATGGATTGGATCAAGTTTGCGATAATGTTTTATTACCCGAATTAACAATCGGAGATTGGATAGTATTTGAAGATATGGGAGCTTACACACTTCCGGGTGCGAGTACTTTCAATGGATTTCCCGTTCCAAAAGTTTACGTCGTAGCCAGTGAAAATATATGGTATTTCACATTTCAAATTATTCATTTAAAAAAAAAAAAAAAGAAAAAGTTTTAAAAAATTTCATTTTAGAAATTTCCTATTTTTTTGTTTAGGAGTCTTTTAAAAGATACATTGTCTTTTTGCGATGACGATTTTGCTATTTTCAATAATGATTTGCCATTAAAAACTTCAATTCCATTATCTGCTGTTTTGAATGAATACGTCAACGTTAATTTATTTCATTGACAAAACAAATATGCGTAGTACGCACTCACGCACGCATGTAAGTGAATAATAATAATAATAAATGACGTCACTTTCTAATTAGAAATTTATAAAAAAAAAAAAAAATTTTCTTTTCAGATCGATTTGAAAACATGAACCGTTTTATATAAAAAAAAAACATATGTGCCTTTTTCATCATTATCATCATCATTATTTCAGAAATATTTAAAATAAAAAAAAAAATACGCCTTACAGTTTTTTTTT